CACGGCGGGCCAGGGAGTCAGCGGCCCCGACGCCCTGCGCGCAGGTGGCCGAGCTGGAGGCCCAGGCGGCTCCGGAGGCCCCTCCCGCCAGCGAGAAGGAGGCTCCCGGGCCGGGCCAGGCGCTGGAGCAGCTGGAGGCGCTGGTGCAAACCAAGGACCAGGTGAGCGCCGAGGGTCCCGGGCCTCCCAGGGGGAGTCGGGACGCCCAGAGCAGACCCCAGAACCCTTGTCCTCAGGAGATCCAGACCCTGAAGACCCAGGCCGGCGTGCCCCGCGAGGGCCCCGATGCCGCCGAGCGCGAAGAGGCTCAGCAGAAGGTGCAGGTGTGTGGGCCGGGGGTGGGGGGAGCGACGGGCGTGGGCAGGCAGACCCTGGAGTAGGCCCCCCGAGCCTCAGTTTCTCCACCTGCAGTCAGGACGGTGTCTACCTGAGATCGCCGAGTGTTGGGAAGACCCGGCCTGTGGAAGGCTGGTGCCTACGGGGCACTTTAAGCAGTGGGGATTAGCAGTTTCATACTCACCCATGAGTTCAACAAGCAGTGTTTGAGTCCCTGCTGAATTCCTGAGTGACCTTGCCAAATGCTCACACGTCCTGAGCCTGAGGCCACAGCACCTGCGTTTGAATCCCAGTCTGACTGGCTTGGCTTTTGCTGAAGCTCAGCGTTCAGGGGCACTTACTGTGAGCCCAGCAAGTGGAGGTGTTGAAGAATCTGGTTCCCTCCAAAGGATCCCAGACTGGGAAAAGCTCTGGGCACATTTTCTGTTGTCCCCAGGAGGCAGAGCATGTGCAAAGGCCCCGAGACAGGGAGAAAGAGTGTTGGGGGAACTTCGAGGAGGCCAGGAAGGCAAAGGTAGAAGGAAGGAGAGTAGGGCTGGGGCTGGGTCCCCTGGGGGTGTGCACTGTATTCCCAGTGTGATAGGAACCCGAGGAGGGTTTTTTTTTAAATTTTTTATTACCAGGGTCTCATTCTGTCCCCCAGGCCGGAGTGCAGTGGGGCTCACTCGGTCCTTCCACCTCAGCCTCCCCAGCACCTGGGACTACAGGCACATGCCACCACACCCAGCTACTTTTTAAAACTTGTGGTAGAGACGAGGGCTCCCTATGTTGCCCAGGCTGGTCTTGAACTCCTGGCTCAAGCGATCCTCTTACCCTGGCCTCCCAAAGTGCTGGAGTTACAGGTGTGAGCCACCGCGCCCGGCCCGTAGGAGGGTTTTGAGCAGAGGAGGGACAGGAGCGCTTCCACGGTGTTCAGAACGGCCTGGGGAGCTGGAGGCAGAGCTGGCGCGGTGGGTGTGGCAGCC